GGGGAGCAAAGCTCTAACTCTCAATTATAAAAAAAAAATAATAATAAAGCACAATCTACCAGATATATATTGTTGATACAAGTTTATAAGTGATAGGTGTTGGGGGATAAATTTGGAACACCACATGGAGGCTTCCTTAGATAAGCGTATAGACTCAAATTTGAATCATGCCTATTAACGGACTAACGGGCTAGGTGCTGACATCCCGCGACACCTTCTAACAATTGTGCTCGACATCGCTGCAACCCTCTGCAGAATTAGGAGTAGACAGAGGGTGTTGGCGATCCCCCACCCCCCATTTGCCTCACCTTCTCTCCCCCCTATCCATATAAAAGGATCTACTTAGCTCTAGGACATACACAAATGCATGACCAAAATCCTAGAACTCCATACCTAGTTTGCTCCCTTTAGGTAGTAGAGAACAGTCAACCGAGCACCACACGGTATTAGATTTCTGTATGCACGATCCTTAACCTTGAATGTGTACGTGGTACCAACGTGACAAACGTGTGTGACAGATGTTCCAAAACTATTTTAATATTTTTCATGAATGTGTTTGAGTTGGTTTTGTGTTTTTGTTTTTTGTTTTTTTTTTCTTTTTACTATATTTACAAATCTAAAATATTGTTGCTATATTTGCAATTAATGGAGATTATTTTGATATATATGTTTTGATATATATGCAGCACCCGTGTAGCAAATTTTTTTTTTCCTTTTTAAGTTCAACAATGTAGGGGTGAGCATTCAAACACATTTGATCTTTAGAACATGTATTAACTAATTGAACAATTAAGTACAATTGAGGACATGGGAGCCAACAAATTTTCTTAGGGAGGGGAATTTTTCTTTTACATTTTAACTTTTATATATATAATCTTTCGACCCTACAAATTTAGGAGAGTCAACAAACTAGAGGAAAATTGCAAAGTAAGGGAGTGACAATTGCCCCCTTCCTTCTTTGCTCCATCCTTGGTGGAAAAGATGTTTTATCTTTTTAATTTTTAATTTTTCTATTGAGTTTAATCATCGATATTTGAGATGGTAATTGATATCCAATTTACTATGCTATAATGAGATCGACAGTAAAGGAAATACTAAAAGATATTGAATATATATGAAAGTGGAGAAAATAGGACGTGCGAATTTCACTTCGTTAAAGCTTTACAAATTAAATTGAAATTAAGTCTAAATTATAGAGATCAAATTGAAACTTTTAAAATAAACCATCAAACAAAGTTATATGTTAGAATAAGTACTCTTTTAATTATGTTTAGAGATGATTTTCTCTCTTTGTTTTAGTTTTGTTGGTATTACTTTATGCTTTATGTTATGCTTCCTCTAATAGGATTGTAGCATGTGATTTCTTATTCCTGCTATTTAATAGAAGTGCAAACCCCGTTCTCATCATTGAGGGCATTTTCTTTTTGTCTTTGTTTGCTTTATTCCCTACCATTTACTATGGTATCAGAGCTTTGGCTCTTTTCCCAAAATCAAAATGGCCTCGTCTTCTAATCCAAACATTCTAGTAGCAAGCTTAGGCAACCTCGATGAACACATTCTTTCAGCAATAACGCCGAATACTCCCTTAAGCAGATAGAGAAACCCTCTTCAGACTACACCATCATCTTCTACGCCGCCACAAACCTTGCCAGTATCCATTGGGCTTGTACCCATCATTCAACAATCCTTCATGCGTAACCCGACAACTTCTACCTTACGTTTTCTTCTTCTAATCCACAACAAGGGTTTCCATATCCCCCAAATCTAGCCCCCAGCTTCTGCAACTCCAAAATCCACTGCCGGTTTTTTCTCCGAATCTCAATGGTCAAGGCCAACAACTCCCATTTTTCCCTCAATACCAACCCGCGGGTACCTATTTTCTGGCCCTATCTCAATCTTTTGTCGTTAAATTGAGTGATACAAATTATCTACTCTAGAAGAATCAACTCTTTAGCCTGATTGTTGCGTATGATCTAGAGAATTTTATCAACGGGTCCCTATCGCAGCCTCCTCGATTTCTTGATGAACGTGAACTACAGACAAATCTCCAATATATTGTATGGTAGAAATGTAACTGCACCCTCATGAGCTGGCTCTATTCCTCATCACCGGAAGACAAAATGGGTGAAATCGTAGGCTATACATCTGCATTCAAAATTTGGGAAACACTCCGACGAGTTTATGAATCTTCTTCAACCGCGAGGATAATGGGTCTTCGTTCTCAGCTACAACAAATCAAGAAGGATGGTCTCACAATATCTTATTATTTTGCTCAAATCAAAGATGTAGCTTATCAGTTTTCAGCCATTGGGGAACCATTATCCTACAGGGATCACCTGGGATATATCTTAGAAGGTCTTGGCACTGAATACAACGCTTTTGTTACCTCAATCCACAACCGAATGGATCGTCCTTCACTCGCAGATGTCTGGAGTTTGCTACTCGCGTATGAGGCCAAGTTAGAAAAATAATTTGCAATTGATCAAGTTAATTTAATTAAGGTGAATTTGGCAAATATAACTTTGTCTCAGAATGGGAAGAAAGATCAGAAATCATCTTCATGGGCCCGAAACAACAGCAACCATTAGTTGGGTTTTCCTCTCCTTTTCCACACTCCTCTAACCTAATCCCTAGTAACTTAGGAAAACCACAACCTCCTTTTCAGAACAAAAAATGGGGCAAATGGCTTCAACATTCTTCTCCCAACCGTCCCCAATGCCAAATATGTCGCAAGTTTGGCCACACTACCTCAAATTGCTATCATCGAATGAATCCCCTATACCCAACTCCAACCCAAACCTCACCACAAGTCTTTTTCAATACATTCCAGCCTCATCAGTCATCTAATTCCAACATTGAAACTCAACCCTGGTTTATGGACTCCGGTGCTACTCATCATGTGACACCAGATCTCTCTAACCTTCAAACTACATCTCCTTACTATGGTGGTGAGCAAGTGGTGGTTGTTAATGGTAAGTCTCTCCCTGTTACTCATATGGGCTCTTCCCTATTGCTCACCTTTAATTCTTCCATGCCTCTTAAACTCCATTATGTCTTACATGTTCCTCGCATTTCTCATAACTTGATTAGTATTGCCCGTTTGTGCTATGACAATCGTGCCTCTATCGAATTTTATCCATCTTTTTTTGTTGTGAAGGACCTTCTAACCAAGAAACCTCTTCTACGGGGCAACCTTGAAGGCGGTCTTTACAAGCTTCTTCCTTCTGATGTCCATGTCCAGTTCAATTTTGGTTCATCTCCCGGCATGCCTACTATTTTTCTCTCAAGGGTACAAGATGCATCATTTTGGCATACTCGATTAGGACATCCTTCTGTTAGTATAGTGAAAAAAGTCATAGGCTTCCTTTTGCACCTTCATTATCTCGGGCTTTGGCTCCCTTTTTCCCCTTGTGTTTCAGTTAATGGATCCCGTTACTTTCTCTTGTTCATTGATGATTTTAGTAGATTCACATGGTTCTTTACTATGAAAGACAAGAGTGAAATCTTATCGGTGCTCGTCGACAACTCCTCATTCACAATTTATAATAGTAGTCCTCCTCGTTGAGGAGGATGCAAGTATTATTCTTAAAAAATTTAAACTTTTCGAACATATATTTAACCTTTCAAGAAATCTATGTTGCGCAGGTAGGGGTCGAATCTACGACTTTCTACTTAGGGAACAGATGTTCTATCCACTGGGCTACAAGCGTTTATATGATCACTAGTTTTCTTTATTCAATATTTGTACTAAAGCTCTCTTTTCCTAATTATCCCTTTAATTTTATAGAGTTTATGAATCTCTATTTTATCCTTAACCTACCTATAAAATTATTTTTCATTTCCTCTAAAATCTAATAAAATTTCCTATAAAATCCACCTCACGTATATTAGATTTTAGTTGAAGAGTTTTCATTTTTTTTTCTTTTAAATAATTGTGAGATGGATTATCAAATATTCTATTTCAAATAAGATAATCCGCGCGTTATCAGTTGAACTAAATTATAATTAATGATTTATTTAACATTACTTCAAATAAGATAATTGGTGCTAGTTATAATTAATGATTTATTTGAAATAATTTTAAAAGTTGGGAAATTGGGATTTATGACTCTCCAATAATTTATTTTGGATTTATGACTCTTTTTGAAAAAAACTATTTGTGACCCAAAATCAACTATAGTTTTGATTTATGACTCTTTTTTTTACCCCTTTCATAATTTTTAAATGTGAAATTACTGTAGTACCCTCATATTCCAAAATCAACCATCTCTCCCCTCTCATTATAAAAAAACAAAAAAAAAAATTCAATCTTTATTCCTTCCACAAATCTCGCAAAATAATCCAGACTTAAAAAATCTAACTTTTAAATTGAAAAATCAATTACAAATAGAAAAACATCTGACTCAAATAGTTAATTAAAATTTTAATATAGAAAAAATCGATTAAAAAAAGTTGAAATTACAAAATGTAATATTAGATATTTAATTGTTTAGTATGGAAATTCGAATGTACATAATTACATAATATACAATAAGAGGGTCAATAGGAAAGAGAATGCACACAAAAAGAAAAAATTTGAAATGCCAGTCCGGTTTGTGCTATCATGGACCGCGATTAGCCCCGTTCCATATATTTTTTTTTTGGGTCTTCCCTCCCCTCTTAGTTCTGTTTATTGTCAATCAAATCTCATCATTTAATAGATCTGAAATCTATGAAATCTTGAGTTTTTTTTAATTAAATATGCATTTATTCTTGATTTTTTTTTGGATTCGATTGTTAATTCTCTCTTAGATTCAAATTAAAAAGAAATGGTAAGAGTTGAGGGGGGAGATTGATGGATAATTTTACTTTAAAAAAATAAGGATATTTTAAAAAATATCACAAATTAGAATAAAAGGAGGGGTCATGAGCCTCAATTTCCCCTTAAAATTCATAGATTTGTTAGATATGTTTTAAAATTAAAAAATCTATCAAGAACAAGGCATTAACTTTTTCAGAGAAGAAAAAAACAAGGCATTAAAATTTCCATCAATTCAACGTGCACACAGAAAAAACCGAAAGAAAAGAAACCGACCCCCATGCTTAGTTTCCAAAGACGAAAGCAGATTGGGAATACAATTCAAAGCATTCGACGTTTTTGTTAAGACGTTCGAAATTTCTCTGATTTCATTCTTCTGCTGCGGGATCGTTCTCCATGGTGCGCTCTTTCGAAGCCAGTCCCGATCTTCTTCCCTAAGTTTTTTTTTTCCCGATCTTTTCTTATTCTTGCATTTTTCACGATTTTTGCGACCTCGAGGCCATTTTGTTGTTCATAATCTTTGTAATTTGTTGCATTCTCCGCTAGAATTAGGTCAATTGTACAAGTTTTTGATATTTGAAACTTGGGTACTATTTGATTTTGGTAGGAAATGAACGGAGGGACTGCTTCTCTGGCCAAATTGCTTCGTTCTTTTGTTGAAATTGGATTTTTTTTTTTTTATTTGTTATGTCTTGTTTACTTTTTGGTTGGATTTTGTAATCGTCTTTGTAGGCAAGCTTATACAGAGGTGTTTCTAGGAAAGAAAAACCTAAAGGACGTCATGGGTTAACCCCCCAAAAGAAGCAGGAGATTAGGGAAGCTTTTGAGTTGTTTGATACTGATGGCTCTGGTACTCAAATTGTTCATTGGTTTTTGCTTGTTAATGGGGTTTTATGTGTGTATGTATCTTGTATTCAGTTATTAGTTTGTATTACTTTTGATTAGGAACTATTGATGCGAAGGAACTTAACGTCGCAATGAGGTATGAATATCTTACAATGGATGACAGAAAACGAACTAAAAGATTGTAAATTTAAACTTCAACAACTGATTATTTTTAATTTGTTTTTTTGTGGCAGGGCTCTTGGTTTTGAGATGACTGAAGAGGTAACTCCATGCCTTAGACCTATAAAAGTTGCAAAATTTTTGGCACTTGTGCATAATTTTTCATTTCAATGGACAAACGTGCGACATCCAAGCATGCATGACTCCCACATTAGAATAAGTTTATCAGAGATCATTAGTATATTCATCTTGTAGCACCCTCGTTGTTTCTTAACATATTGGACTGATCTCCTTTTATTTCACAATGAGATCAATGTAGCTATCTCATTTTTCCCCATTATTGAGAATGCATAGTAAGGTTGTAAAGGTGGTGCCATCTCCTTTAGAATGCATTGCCTCTTTACTTTAACCTTCAACCTTGACTTTCTTATTTTCTGCAACTGCACCTCATCTTGAAAGGGCAGATTTTTCCTTTGTAAAAGGCGATTTTTAATAAAATATTTAGATGGAGTTACTAATATGGACGATTTCTTAGTTTCCTTTTATGCTTTTTTAGAATTATGTTTGCTGTTTATTTTAGGCATCCTTCATATGATGCTCTTAGTTGGAAGATACGATTTAACAAATTTACAATTAAATGCAGCAACTTGTTTGAATGTCAATAATCTAATTACTTTTGATTTGACTTAAATATCTGCTTACTTTGACAGTAGTATTGCTGATTGACATTACATTTATTTGCTGTTGTTTCATTCCAGCAAATTAGACAAATGATTGCAGATGTGGACAAGGATGGGAGTGGTGCCATTGATTACGATGAATTTGAATACATGATGACAGCGAAAATTGGAGAGAGAGACACTAAGGAGGAACTTATGAAAGCATTTCGCATTATTGACCAAGATAACAATGTGAGATCTTGATCTCTTAGATGATATGGATCCAGGTGGTTATGTTTTCTAAAAGAAGGAGAAATTTATTGTTTTTCCTTTTAATGCAAATGCTGTTACTGAGAACTGTAAAACATAGTTGAACTGAAATATACTTGTGAAATGGAATTTCTCAAAATCCAATTTTACTTAAAATTTTCTGATAGAATTTTGGGGAAGCTAATTTTCTACACAAAAATTTTCCTATCTTTTTTAACTCAAACATTTTGTGATTATATTTAAAATTGGCATTATATTTTCATACTCTTTTCCATGAATTTAGGGGAAGATATCTGCCACTGACATCAAGCGTATAGCAAAGGACTTGGGTGAGGTCTTCACTGACAGAGACATTCAAGAGATGATTGATGAAGCAGACCGAGATCGTGAGTCACCCTTACTCTATTTTTTATGCAGTTTTCCTTTTGTAAGGTTATACTGTCGTACAGATTAATGTTTTTCTTTTCTTTCCATGTTTTTCCCAAATAAGTTTGTTGGGTGGTATTATCTTGTGGATGTTCAATTTGGTGAAAGTGTCCTGTCTTGACACTCCATTTTTTTAACCCGTCTATAAATATTTAATACCATACCCTGCGTATAAAACTCCTCTTTTCTCATTTTGATTTGGCGTTGCAACAAATGCTGTATGGGGTGGCATATATATTTTTTTAATATATAAATAATATCAGTGAGTGTATAAGGTCGCATTCATGTAGTTGAAGTTTAGAAATCATTGAAATTATTAATTTCTAAGAAGTTATATTGTGAAGTTGGTGTTAGTTCTAATGTTTATAATGCAACAATGCACCAAAAATTTGAATCTTCGCAGGGGATCACTTGTGGCCCAGGTTTAAGAAGTGGGCTAGATTACATATGATTTTAGATAATGAGTAAAAGAGGGATTTGGCGGTTGTTTGACCTTGCAAACTGTGACTTATGAAGAGCTAACTGAGAGCTCGGGTATACAATGGTTTGGACTATTTCTGGAATGAGTGGAGTAGTCGTCCATATCATTAAATGGATGTAAATAAAATCTTATAAATAAGGTCTTCTATAAGCAGCCATGTTTATTCTATGTTCAGGGAGGAAAAGTTTAAATAGATATTTTATAAGAGTTCAAATGAAAGATATGGGAGGAAGATATTGCTGTTTGGAGTTTTGTGTTAAGAATAAATTTGACATACTCTGAGGAAGGGGAGTTCCAACAGTTGTTGTAGTTACTTAATGGGAATTTCTTCGAATCCAAGGGAAGATAAATGTTGTGGTGTTTACATTCTGGAAGGTTTTCATTTAGGTCTTTGTTTTTCTATTAACCAACATGAGAAGTGGTTTAAAGACAATTTTTGGCTTTTACGATATTGAGGGGAGTTAAATTCTTTATATGGATGATGTGTTTTGACGGATTAAACACAACAAAGAATTTAGAGAATATGTTCTGAAAGGTGAGTCTTTGGAATTGGTGTTTACTTTCTGGATGCCACCAAATCGTTTCAAAGTTTCCCTAGGTCTTTAGTAAAGCGACTAAAGATTCAAGGGAAAGGCAAAGATTTTGGGGTCAATACTATAAAGGCTTACTGCTTGGAGAATTTAGATGGAAAGAAACTACTAAAATTTCAATGGAAAGGAATGAAATGGGGAAGACGTCTTTTAGTTGGCTAAGTTTCATTGCTCTTCATGGTGTTCCCTTTCCTTTCTTTTTTTTTCATGGATTTTTCGTGACTAGTGAGTTTACAATAAGGGGTGGCTTTCTTTGTAAATATAATTATATAGTATATTTTTGAGATTTTTGAGTTTTATTATAACTTTTTACTACGATGAAGAGCATGTTTCATTTTTTAAATTTGTCATTTACTGTTATTCTTTTTCTTTTAAACGCTTAAAATAGGCCACTAGGAGTAAATTTTGGAATTTCATTTGTATTTTTAAAGTTATGGCACGAAGCTTGTATGTAGCCTCGAGAGTTTTCAAGAATACTTCATTTTAATGACAAGAATTTGATTCTTTTATCTTTTTGAGTGTCAGGTAAGGCTCACCTAAATCTTCAGGAGTCCTGAAACATTGCATAAAATCCTCATTTTGAGTCAGCGACCGTCTTCAACGGTTATTCCTTTTTAAATTGGGAAACCCTATTTTGAATCAACTACTTTTAAAACCTCGTGCTGGAATTCCAAACAGAAATCTATGATTCTTGAAGCTCTTGTTATTCCCATTCCTTTTGTTGATTAAAGTTCCTTTTGTAACTTACTGGCTTTACCTCTAGTAGTTGTAGTATTTAATTTTGGACCAGAAAAGTTTAGATGCAAATTGAGCCTCTTAATGTTGATATTGGATTAACCTGGCTTCTTTTTTCCATACTGCAATGCAGTTTAGTTTATATACTTGGATACACATCTCGTCGATTCCCTATTTTGTACCTCATGCTTAGTAAATTCTGCAGTGTCGATTGCAGCTATGTTTGTTGGTTTAGTAACATGATCCCAATTATATTCTCATTTTTTTGAACTCCGAGATATGTTGTTGGTTATATGCTCATCAGGAAGAAAAGCGGTTAACGTGGATTTGTTAATTGCAGATGATGGTGAAGTGAATGTTGACGAGTTCATTAGAATGATGAAGAGAACGACATACGGATTATAGAGAGCAGATTATTATCAGACCGTGTATCATCCACATGAGGTATGATTAGGATAAGTACAGATGTAAGAATAAGAGTCATTTACAAAATATTGTGGTCAGGATGATGAATGACTTAGTATACCTTGTTTTGTATTTAAAGTTTCTCTGAGTGTTATTTGGAGTTCATTTGAATATATTTCGCCTCTTTTGAATTTTGTGTAATGCTTGTGATTGACATATTTTGAATTTTGTGTAATGCTGTGATTTCGAATAGTGAGTGGAATAAAGCTATTTTATTGAAAAAGTCCGTGTACAAAAAGATGGCCATTAGCCTGCCAACAGAACTAACTACCTACTAGAAGAGGTGTGTATGAGTGAGGATGGTAAAAAAAACCGGTGGGCGATTTGATCAGGGATGGGGTCAAACTTGGGGTTGGGTATGGGGAGGTCTCCCAGCCCCGTTCCCGACCCGTTTAATATTTTATTAATTTTTATGTAATAATATTAATATATATTAATTTTAATAAATACTTTTTATATATTTATAAAAAAAGCCAAAATCTAATATCCATTTAGCCACTTCTTTCTTTAGTTTTAACTCCTATAAAAATAAGAAATATATATATTTATCGGGATGGGTTCTCGGGGATCGGGGATGGGGACCATATAGGAGATGTACGACTGTGGTCTCTACCTTACCATCATGTTGGGGTTGCTCAAAATATGTTGAATACAAGCCATTCTTTCTTCATTCAATCCATTGTCTGTCGATACGCTTGTGTCGCAACGATATATCTCTATCGAGTGAGGGAAGTTAGGTATTGGTCTAGAAAGAGAGAACTAGAGGAATTATAAATCAAGGTCACATGGTTACACTATAAATTTTCACCTCACTCGATGATAATTTCTAGTCTTATCGTAGTATGAAAACCTTCCATGCTATCTCCACTAATTTTGTGTCATGTGTCATTTGCATCCTTATACAAATAAGGATAAAATACACTTTTAGTCCATGAATTGAAGTCAAACTTTCGTTAGTGGCACTAACTAGGTGGCATTTCCTTTTTAATGTTTCGCATTTCTATCTCTCCCTCCCCTCCACCACTTCTCCTTGTGTGGCCGGTTATTGTGTTCTCCAATTTGGCAACTGAGAACACAAATCAATGTACCCAATATTCGAACTAAAAACACCAGAAGAGTCTTCCATCACTCTTCTTCCTCACCAAATCGCCATTTTTAAATCAGGTACCAATGTGTCACTGATGCTCGTCAACATTTCGTTAGTGATAGTGATAGGAAGTGCGACTCCAAGGATCCTGTTTTCTAGAGGTTAGAGATTAAATTGTCACTTTTTGAAACTTGTGGATCAAATACCAAATAGAAATTTATGCTCAAATTTTGGGACTAAATATATATTTTACCCTGCAAATAAAGTATATAAATAAGGTGGACTCCACCGGATCTTAAGGGATAAAAATCCTCACCAAAAATATTCTCTCTCCCTCTTACATTATCTTCTCTCTTCCCTAATATTATTTGTACTTTCAATAGGACCTTTTATTCTTTTTTTTTTCTTTTTTTTTCCCTTCCATTTCTTCTATCTTCTTTTTTTCTTCATTTGAATGTTTTTACAACTCCACTTTATTGGGTATTTTCTTTTTATTTGTAAGTTTATTTCAAATAATTAAATAATTATTTTTCTTATCTACTAATATTAAAATTTGACTATCCCACCTATAAAAGTTGAATTCAAATGAATTTTGATACAAGATGAACATGTTCTCTCCCTAGATCACACTAGCAATAGAGGCGATTGATCGAGGTAAAGGCATGCAAGCTCGTCAAGCAATTAAGAGGCCGTTTGATAACCATTTCTGTTTATTGTTTTTGGTTTTCTGCTTTTAGAATACAAAAACCATATACATTTAATAACTTATTTTATTTTTTGTTTTTGAAAAACTGAAAATCAAGCCTATGTTTGATAACCATTTTTTATTTTCTGTTTTTAAAAAGTTAGAAAATTGAAAATATATGTGAGAGACAAAAAAATCTATGTAAAATATTAGAGATGACAACAATGTGTGGGTAGGAGTCAGGGTGCCCTCTTCCATGAAACTTTTAATTCTCGTCTCCAACCCGTTCTCTAATTTTGGGAATCAAGGTTCAGGTTCAAGAATCCTCATTTGGGAGCGAGAATCTTCACGAGAAAAATTATTGGCTTAATAATCAATTTTTCATATTTTATAATTTAAAAAATAAAGATATATAATTTATATTATTTTACTCAAAAATTATTATTTACACTAAATACTTAGATTAATATTTATTCATAATTTAATAAAATAATTAATAAAATATATATTAATTATTTAAAAAATAGAACGGGAGACGAGAAATGGTGGGAAATTCATTATCTGTTCTTAAAGCGGTTACTCGACCCTACAAGATTTTTTGTCGTCTCTAGCATAGAGACATGAAAATAAAAGTTTAAAGAGAGAAAAAAGAATTTTGAAAGAAAAATTTCAGACACTCTGAATTTTAGAGAGTTAGATAAAAGTTAGAAAAATAAATTAGTGAGAGAAAAGTAAGTCAAAAATAGAAAATTAAAGTTGAGAGCAAAATACAGGTTAAAGAAATAAAATAAAATTAGAAAGAGAGAAAAATTATAGTAACAACAAAATTTGGACAATGAAAAGTTCAAAATATATTTGTTTACGGAAAGTAAATAAATAAAAAGCAAAAGAAAAGTTATAAGGGAAAGAAAATTGAATGAGAAAGCGTTTAGATATAGAAAAATTGAAGATATATTTCTTAGAGAAAAAATGAACTATAAAAAAAGTTATAAAATGTGAAATTTAAGAAAGAAACGTTTAGAAAAAATATTAACAGAAAAAAAGAAAGTGATATGTTAGAACAAAAAATATATATACAAATGAAAATTTTAGAGACGAGAAATTTAGGTAGAAAAATATTTTAGAGCGAACAACAAATTATTAGATAGAAATTTGTCAAAGAAGAAAAAAGTTAAGCATTGGAAGAAAAAATAGAATTTGAAAAACAAAAACTTGTATTTTAAAACTACTTTTTTTTTTAATTTACCATTTTGTTTTCTATTTTTTCTATTTTTAGTTTTTAAAAACAGTCTTGTTGGATAACCCATTCAATTTTATATTTTTTTTTGTTTTTTACCTAGATTTCTCCCTCTATCAAATTTATCTTTCTCTTTCTAAAATTTTGTATCAGAGACTTTCTAAAAATATTTCTCTCTTCAAAATTTTCATTTTTATATATTTATATCCTTTATTTTTTTTTCTAACATATCACTCCCTTTTGTCTCTCTCAAAAAATTTAATATTTTTCCGAACATTTTTCATTTTCAAATTTCACATTTTATAGGTTTGCTTCTCTTTCTAGCCTATTTTTTCTCATAAATATATCTTCACTTTTCCCATTCAATTTTCTTTCACTTATAATTTTTATTTTTTATTATTTACTTTAGGTAACAAATATATTTTAAACTTTTTTTTGTCCAAATTTTGTTCAAACTATAATTTTTCTCTCTTTCTAATTTTTTTTTTTCATTATTTAACATGTCTTTTGTTCTCAATTTTATTCTTTCTAGAATTTTCTATTTTTGACTTTCACTTTTCTCTCACTATTTTTTTCCCTAACTTTTCTCCGGCTCTCTAAATTTCTCTTTTAAACATTTTTTTTATCTCCCTAAACTTTTATTTTCATGTCTCTATATTAGAGACGACAAAAATTCTCGTAGGATAAGTCCCAAGAACAGACAATGCATTTCCCACATGTCCTGTCTCCGATTCCATTTTTTAAATAACTAATATATATTTTATTAACTGTGTTTACTAAATTGTGAATAAATATTAAATATTTTCTAAACTAATTATTTATACTAAATAATAATTTTTGAGTAAAATAATATAAATTATATATATTTATTACTTTGTATTTTTAAATTCTGAAAATAATTCAAATTAATTATTAAACCAATAATTTTTCTGATCATCGTCTACAGATGAGGATTCAGAACCTGACCTCGATTCCTGAAATCGGAGCACGTGCGTTGGAAATGAGAATTAAAAATTTCGTGGAAGAACGACATCCTGACTCCTACCCCACATAATTGCCATCTCTATTTTACATAGATTTTTCTATCTCTAACATATATATATTTTCAATTTTCTTAATTTTTTAAAAACATAAAACCAAAAATAGTTATCAAAACATACATTTGGTTTTTAGTTTTTCAAAAACAAAAAACAAAAACAGTTATCAAACATGTCGTTTTTGTTTTTTAAAAGCAGAGAACTAAAAACAGAAAATAGAAAAACCAAAAACTAAAAATAGAAATGATTATGAGATGAGCCCTAAAGATTTCAAAAAACGATTTTAAAAAACAGAAAACAAAAAAATGAATTGGTTATGAAACAAGTTTGTTTTTAAAAAAACTTAAAAATAAAAAACTGAAAAATGAAATAGTTATCAAACTGACTCTGACTAGTTTGGATAATTGAGAGTACTCCATACCCAAATCATACTAGTATTGTAATTAATTTAATTTCATTTTAATTTCTTGCTTTGCACAAATTATGAACTATGGAGTTTAGCATTTACGTGGATGAAATAATGTGTCTCAATTGAAAGGTAAAAGGCCTAAAGCAAAAGGCATTACATACATGCATATAGTTAAAAATGTTAGAAACGAAATTATCATACTAAGTTCACTTTTAAGTAAAGTTAAGGGAGCAACTGGAATTTCACTTTAAGTAAAGTCAAGAAACAACATGGATTGAGACTTGTCCGAGTTAGACCACCCAGTTAGGATGAGATCACTCGACTAGACCTAAACTTAAGTAGAGTCACATCACTCACTCGAGAGCTGATCGAATATAGTTGAGTTGATCCATTCGAACCAACTTAAAGAGTCTCCCTCTATAAATAAGAGGATAGGTTTGAGACGTGAGTTACGTTATACGACTTAACATTAGATGTGTTGGGATTAACATTATACTAATGTACAAATCTATTGTGGGCAGGTGTCGGTTGGAGCCTCGATCCAAATGTTGCATCAAAAGAAAAATATGAAACTTTTTAAGTTGTTAGTTCTTAATTTGGAAAAAATTTGGATGTGAACAACACAATTGTGAAATGAAGCTTGAGTATGGTGGAAGGAACAAAAAGTTTTTGAAAGAATTTGGTTAAAAAAAAAAAGGTTTAAAAGAATTCCTCTATATATTTGTACCGAAGGAATA